AGAGAGAGAGAGAGAAAGAGAGAGAGAGAGAGAGAGAAAGAGAGAGAGACTTCAGACCCTGAGGCACAAGTCTTTCTACAGATGAAGTCTAAGATATATAAACTTTATTGCTTTATTTCTATTGTAATCTGTTATTAAAAGTCCTTAGTGGTGCATGCCTGTAGTCCCAGCACTTGGGAGGCAGAGGCAGGTGGATCTCTGTGAGTTCAAGGCCAGCCTGGTCTACACAGTAAGTTCCAGGACAGCTCGGGCTACAGGGAGAAAAAAAAAAAAAAAAAAGAGTCCTTAGAAGAGTAGCAGGTAACCGTGACATCTGAAGTTCATGTTCTTAGGTTTTAAAGTTATTTTACGTGGGCCCATCACAGAGATTCTGGGCCCCCATATGGAGGAGAAAGTACAGCACTTAAAACATCTGATGTCTAAGACTGTGCTTACTTACTGCTCCTCCCACGCTGTCAGGCAAACACCAAACCAACAGATGGGCTGTGCACCATGCCCCAAAGCTAGTGTGCTTGGAAGAAATTAAAAAGAGCTAATCTCAGAGGTGGGAACTCTCTATGTAGTGGGGCTAGTCTCTGGTATCCTCATTCTCCAGCTGGTTTGGATTAAGAGGATTTGGGACAATCTTAGCTATTAAACTCACTTCTGAGAGCAACATTATCTCCAGAGGACCTTGGATTCTTCCACTTGGCTTTTTAAGAGCAGGAAGGATACAATTACATGTGGAAAGAATGGTCTGGTGTTCTATACCTGCAAAGGTCTTAGAAATGAATTTTCTTCTTACTTTACATAACATTTGAATATCTGGGCTTGATTGGTCCAAAGCCCCATGGCTACCTGCAGGGAGAGTTGGTGTTTAATCTATAATGAAATCAGAGAAGAAGTAGGGTTATCAAGGATTTCTTCATTTCCCTACACATCAGATCCAACATATTCGTCACTCAAAACTCTTTATGCAAGAACCCATACCGAGCATGCCTGTTGGGTGTTTTAGGAAGCTGCTTATCTAAAATGAAGTCTTCCTATCCTCCCTTCAGTCCCTTCCAGGTGTCTCACTTCTAATCCTTCCTAAAAAAGATGACTTTGGGAAGTCCCTTCCTCTAAAATAGTTCTCCAGTATCTGGATAACAAATGAATTTCTAACTGGAAAGCTACAGGGCAAACTAAAAATAAGAACCCAAGCCCCACAGCAGAGCTAAGGTATGACATCTTCATTTGGGGTGGCAGCTAAGAAACACTGCAGAGCCTTTGATTTTCATTAATGCTGGAATTGGAACCCCCACCCCCGCGCTACTTCTTTCTGCACATGGGATGATGTGGTCATCCCACACGCTCATCACTAAGAAACTTTATCGCCTCCTACACTCCATCCTAGAGCCTTTCTCCAAAGAGCTGAGTGTGGGAATTGGCTCCAAGTCAAGTTGACGTTATTTTTGCAGTCCTCCAGCTAGCTTACTTGGAAATGTCAGAGTGTTGGGACATGTGCTTTCCCAGCCGTGCTGAAGGGTCTGCCCATATGGATATATAGGGCTGTGCAAGTGCACTTGTGTATTTTTTCACGCAGGCACACGCACCCATAAACATACAAGCACACAAACACAGATGCTCAGTCACTGCAAAGGAGCAGCCTTTGGTGCCTGGAGCTCTCTTTAGGCATCCTTCCTAAAAGTGTCCCCAAGCTAAGCGTGTGTTTACACATCACCTGCACAGGGCTCCATAATACCAGGTGTGAGAGACAGAAAAATGGACTCGTCCAGATGTCCACATCCTAATTCCCAGAATCTGTTACGTTACATGGCAAAGATATAAAAATGGCACATGGAATCAAGATTGCCTACAATTTATCCTAGATTATCTGCAAGATTATCCTAGATTATCTGGATGTCCTAATGCAATTAAAAGTAAGTGTGAAAGGGCAAAGAGGAGCTTAGAGTGATGTGATATAAGGGCCTAATAAGCTATTGTATGTTCTGAAGATGGAAGAGGAATCACTAGCCAAGGAATGCGGGCAGTCTCAATGTGGACAGCCTCCAGAAGAGGGAAAAGCAAGAAAGCAGATTCTCACTTGCAGCTTCCAGGAAGAAGCACAACTCTGTAGACACTTGACTTCAACCCCACGAAACTTACATCAGACCTCTCTGGCCTATACAAACATGGCATAATATATTGATGTTGCTTTAGAACACTAGGTCTGTGAGTGACCACCTTTGCTGTGCTCCCTCTTCCTACCCCTCAGCCCAACTGCAGAACTCCTAAAGATGTGTGAGGAGCTGTATACAGAGGAGCTGGAGCTGAAGGAAGCTTGCTGAACCATGTTCAGGTGTAGTTTTCCTCTCCACTTCTATTCTAGCATCATGCTACCTGTGAGGAATGAAATGTACTTGGAGCTCAATGCCTGGAAAATAGCAGCCACTAGCAAATGTTCTTATAACCATCCCAAATCCACAGACCTGATCATGTGTAAATGCACCTGAGAAATGAGATGCATATGTGCCTGCCACTGGGATTTGCTGCTGATCACTGTGACACTCTTTGACCAGTGTCAACCTATGACAAGCCAGTCTTAGTACATGGTTAGAGGAAGATTCAGGACTCCTGTGGGTTGGGTTCAACCTGATGATGACCGCACAATATACTGTGGTACATCTCCCCACTGCCTAGCCACATTTCACGGGGGGCGGGGAATGTATGAGAAAAGGATTATCAGTAAAAATCAGGACAGGTAATATTTATTGTGAGCTCATCATGTTTCTGTCACTATGATTGGCTTAGATAATCGGAGCTCCTCCCCAACTGTATGAAGTAGGCAGTGTTTTTAATTTCTATTTTAGAGAGAAGTTGACTAACTAACCCAAGACGGTTGATTAGTTAATAATCATAAGCTATCACCTTACCCACTGTACCCAAAGTTCGACTGCATGACAGTAGAACTCACACTCCTGGTCATTTTGAGACACTTTTCCCTCTGCCTGCCCTTCCAGAAGGGAATTGGAATGGATGACTTAGAATTATTCTCCTTCTGAGTGACTGCCGAGAGCCTCAGTCCATAATGAGGCCCTTTGCCAACTACTATTCTCTCCTACATCCTGCCAGCTTGACTCCCCTAGGAGCATCCTTGGTTAAGTTGGGCTAATCACAAAGTACTAAGGCTGTGTAGTTTAGTGCTCTGCCAGATCCTGCCATAGGCTTATTGTTCTTATATTTTCTAAGGGTCTTTTTGTGGCTATACATTTTGGGTTTTTTGGTTTGGGTTCTTTTTTTTTTTTTTTTGGTCTTTTTGAGACAAGGTTTCTCTGTAGCTGCAGCTAGCCTGGATTCGCTAATGGAGACCAGGCTGGCTTCAAACTCACAGAAATCCTCCTGCCTCTGCCTCCCTCCCAAGTGCTGGGATTAAAAAATGTGTGCCACCACACCCGGCTCTGGTTTTGGTTTTTAATGGAAAACAACTACCTGGTTTCATTGGCTTTTCTCTCTTCTCCATCCCAAGCCTTTGTTCTGCCATATAGACAGCTGTGGAGGCTTCAGATACCTGCTTCCTTTCTCAGCCACATCAATTCTGGCCACAGCCCCCAGGGCCTTTTTCAAGATGTGCAGCCTCATGGGTCTGCAAGTAGAACAGACTTCCAAGCTAAATCAAGTTTTAATATCTATCTAAGATGTTCACCAAAATCCCTTCTTACCTAAGTCTTTCCACGGGCCACACACAACTACTTTGAAATGTATAAACCTGCTGAGGGGCATTGGACCAGGTTTCCAGAGAAACCCGCCTCTACTTCTTTGCTTGCTCCAAGCCACTGCTTCTCTCCCCTTCATGGGACGTTTTATAACCCAATTTGGCAGAAGAGCTCAGGCCTGATTTTGTTCCCACACCTGGATTTCCTACTTAAATCTGTAGCTCCAGCATGCACTTCAGCATGTTCCCCTATTTCCTCTCCCAGAGTTCTATAAAGCCATTCAACCCTAGGCCTGCCTCTTGCCTGATGTCCCCAGTGGGCAACTTGACATTACCCAAGGCCAGATGTCTTACAAACATTTCAATTTTAGACAAGGTATACTCAATTTCATTTAATAAAAGCCAACCACTACCTGAAACTATGTGATGACTCAGGGCTTTGGGCCTTGATCTCATTTATATTGAGACAAACTTTTGGTGACCCCACCATGCCCGAGAAATCCTAGCTTCAAGGTCTTTTTTAATCCTTCAATGAAATTTGTGACTCCATCCTTCATCTGTAGAAAGGGAAATGACCAAAGGTGCTGTCCATCATGCAAGGTAGCTCAAGGGGCTTGCCCGTTAGGTACCAAGCAAAAGCAGATGTGCACCAACATCTCCTGGTGGGCTTTTCCTCTCCAACAGTATGATTGGCAGAGTAGTTCATGCAGGACACACTCTCTGCTAGCTGGGCACTTCTCCGTGGCCATGACACGTCTTTCTGTTGGATTCCTATGTACACCACCACAGAGTCAGCGCCTCATGTGGTTCCTGCCATCTGTCACAGCAGATGCGGAGACTGTAACACTTCTAGCTTAGGAGGGCATCCAACACCCTTGTGGGGTCTTTAAAATTCACAGCTAACAGTCGGAGCCTGTACTTGTACAAAACCCCTCTTCAAGTCAAGATTTAGCAGTTGGTTGCCATAGCAACTTTCCTCATCAAGTCTGAACTCCTTGCAGTGTAGATGGCCAAACTGGTTTGAGGAAGAATACAGAAGAGGCAAGTTTGGTGGGTTCCAGAAATGAGGCTCTGTTGAGAGGCAAATTTTGGATATCTCCAAACTCAAGCCTTATATGTTAGGCTTCTCTGTTTCCTCTTAACTTTGGGTGGCATATGCCATTATATGAAGAAAAGCTTTATCTGCTGTCAGCAGTGTGTCCCCACATGGTAATGAGTGACAGAAGCCTCATAAGGAGATAATGACCATGAAGGCAATTTGAGAAGGTAAATGCATTATACAAATGGTAGGTGTTGCTGCCCTTAGAGAAATAGGGCTCTGCTTGAATTCTGAGTTGTTAGTACATTGATTTTTATATGTTTTTTGGTAAGTAGATATAATGTAAATGAGAATTATTTCTTTTTTTCTCAATCTTTAATTCTAGAATAAGTATCCAGCTGATACAATTCTTCATTTTTTTAAAAAAATTTATTTATTATTTTATTTTATGTATGAGTGTATTGCTGGCATGTGTGTAAGTGCACCCATGTTGTGCACTGCCCACGGAGTTCAGAAGAGAGCATCTGATTCCCTGAAGCTGGAGTTATAAATGATTGTTAGCTGCCATGTGGGTGCTGGGAACCAAACCTAGGTCTTCTGCATGAGCAGCCAGTGTTCTTAACTGTTGAGCCATTTCTCTAGCCCCCATTCTTGGTTTTCTGATTCAGAGTCTCATGTAGCCCAAGGTGGCCTCAAAATTCCTTTGTAGCTGAGGCTGACCTTGAATTTCTGATCCTCCTGCCTCCACCTCCCCAGTGCTATGATTACAGGCATTTTTCACCATATGCAGTTTATGTGGTGCGGGGAATCAAATATATGCTTTTCATAGTGGAGATCAAATCCATTTCATGCATGCTTGGCAAGCACTCTATCAAGTGAGCTACAATGCCAGTACTAGCTAAGTTCATTCTGAGAATCAGAAAGATGTGTTTGACAGGCTCCTGAGATTACATCCTGTTTCTTAGCATGCTATTCATGCCTAATTGTCCACAATGACAATCAGGAGAGTATCTTTTCCAAAAAAGAGATGTAGTTGAGCTTTAACCCATTAGCTGACTTAGATATCTTCACATCAGATGATGGGTTGCTATCTATAAACAAAACAAGCCCTTATTTTTTCCTCGTGCGTGTGTGTGTGTATGTGTGTGTGTGTATTGTGCACTGATATGTTTGTAAGTGTATGCATAGAGACTAAAGGTCAACTTCAGATGTCTTCTTCTATTGCTCTCTCTACTTTCCTTGAAACTGGGTCTCTTACTGAACTGGAGTTCACCCTTTCTTCTAGACTGGCTGACCAGTGAACCCTCTCATTCTACTCATCTTTGCTTCCAGGTGCATGGGGTTATGAGCATATGCCACCATGCCAAACTTTTATGTGGACACTGGGAATTCAAACTCTGGTCCTCACACTTTGGCAGCAAAAACATTAGCACTGAATCATATATCCAGTTAAACTCTTTAATTAGATCATTTGGGATTATCGATGGTTGATATATCAACTTGATAAGATCTAGGATCACCAAAGAGACAAGCTTCTGAGCACTTCTGGGAGGGATTGTCTATATTGGGTCAACTAAGGTGAGAGGATCTACCGTAAATGTCCCAGGAACCATTCCATGGCCTAGAGTCCTGGACTGCACTAAAGGAGAACACAAGCTGAGCACCAGCAAAGGAAAATACCTCTGCTTCTTGACTACGGATGCATGGGATCAGCTGCCTCACCTTCCTGCCACCACGAAGGACTATACCTTCAAATAGTGAACCAAAATGATCCTTAAGTTGATTTTGTTAGGTATTTTGTCATAGCAGCAAGACAGGCAGCTAATTTTCATAGTATCTATGAAATACTCACTTATTTGGAGAAACCAACCTATCCTTGCCTTGCATAGCTTATGTTTGGGGTTTGTGTGCTTTCTTTGGAACTGAGAACTCATGAAGCCCTATCTTCTTTTGTCTTGTTCCTGGAACTTGCCTTTTTTTTTTCTTACGTACCTTCCCTTTCACCAGCAAAGTAGCCTTCACTGGCAGGTCTTGTCACCAACCACCCAGTTTCAAGCTGTATTTCTTGATGTTTCACTCAGAGCTCCCTGACCATTTGTAGCTGGAGCTCGGAACCAGTGAAGGTAATAAATTTGGGCCTAAAGTGGGTCAGTAGGTTCCACAATAGCCCATGAAGTCAGAGTTTGCCATACAGTTCTGATTCTAATATTCTGTGACTTTTTCAAAAACTAAGTTACACATTTTCAGTCCACTCACTAGTTCATTGAACTGAGTGTGTTTGGGTGTGGGGATAAGTGACTGTTATTGATACTGAGGCCCTGATAGGAAGTAGCTTCTATGTAAAACCTGAAATGAATGCATGAGCTAAGATCTTAAACAAAAAATTGCCTTGCTCACACTATTCAGACTTCTCCTCTTTCAGACACCTTTATTTCATTTTTATTGTTTTATCTTCATAAGGAGGAAATAGCATTCAAAGCTGTAATTCTATTTATAGCTTTCTTAAGTGTCTCTTCCTTGGGAGATAAATAGACTGTGTGCCTACTGTCTCCTTAGGATTTGGCACCTTTATAAATTTGTTATTTACAATTTTCAAGAAGTCACACTTTCTTGTTTCACTGGTTATAAATTAAATACCAGTCATTCAAAGACTGAAAGCAAATGCTCTAGTATGACTAGGCTCAGTGGCTTGGAGACATGCATAAGGAAGTATTAACCTAAGGGAGCTGCAACGGTGTCATCCAAGATCAGTAAGTACTAAGTAGAGCAATGACTGTTCATCTTTTGGAGCTTGTGAGTTTGTTTGCTAATGAATTAATGCTATGCAGCCCTGCCTTGGAAAAAGGCATGTACACAAACACAAATATATACTTTTGTATGTAATACCAGAGGGTTCTTGGACTTCTTGATATGCCAATAAAAGGACAAATGGTATGAACAGTCATAATATCTGAGCAAATGCAATCTTGTCGATAGTCTGGGTTTACAGGGTTCAAAAGGTAATTAGGCATTTTCAATGAAAAGCTAAAGCCCAGAACTCCTAAAAACAGAATAGGTATATGCAACCTCCTTTAAATGCCGTAGTTGTTCTGTGGATTAACAGCACCACATGATAAGAAAAAAAGGTCTGAAGCCAGACAAACATAGGTTCAAATATTTATAAGTTAGGGACAAGTCTTTCAATTTTTCCAAGCTTTGGCTTCCCTTATCAGCATATTAGTATGGATTCCTGCTTTTCAAGATTCCTGGGAATACTTGAAGTCACTCACATATACAGACTTTAAACATTTATTCGTCATCTTCTAATTACCTTGCTTGTACCCTGGAATTGAGAAAATGAGCATGAAGTGTCCCTTTCCTCAAAGAATTGCTGATCTTTGTACTTCCAGAGTGTTAAGAATAGGTGCTTTGCAAACTTTAGGTTTACTTCACGGGAATCATCATGCACTGGGAAAGGGGGATATTCATTCATGCGGGCAGTGGAAAGGGAATGTAGTGTATCATTTATGCAATAATTGGAGTCAGAGTTTAATCTGATCATTTCGTATTAGCCTCTCAAATATTGACCTGTTAGTTGATTTACTTGTGTTTCTCTTTTCCTCCTTAACCTGATCCTAAGGGGAATGCCTGTGCTACGAAGGCTACATGAAGGATCCTGTCCATAAGCACCTTTGCATTCGGAATGAATGGGGAACAAACCAGGGGTAAGTGAGGAGCTGGCAAATTAGCCGTTTCACATGTCACTGCTCCCTCACACAGACATGACCTGGAGCAACTGTAGGTAGAGTAACAGAGTTGATGGATTCTTGTATTCTAAATGGTCAGTAGTAAAGTTGTGACTGTTCCTTTCCATATTCATACCAAACCAGTAACATCCATGTCATCCTTTCCTCCATTTACAAGTCAGGAGATGATGGTTCTGACTCACAGCTCTGCCGCCTACAGCTGGAGTCTGAAAACCAAGCCGTCCCTCTCTTTCTTTTCACCCCACCACCATCTACAAGGATTCCCAAGGCAGAGCTTAGCTAATGATTTTGTTGGAGACACGTGAATACACACTGACTCTGCTGGGGCTCTCTCTCTCAGAGCTTGAGGAGCCCCTGAAGACTGCTTGCCACCAGCACTGTCAGCATGGGTGGCATTCAAAGACTTCGGGAGTGTACTGTGCTCAGGAGGGTGGTACTTTTACTGGATCCCTATTTACCATTTCTCTGTGTGACTTTTACTTTCCCCAAACACAAGTGACTGGGGGAAAGTAGCTACTTTATCTTTTCTTTTAAAAATTCATTTTTAGATGGTTTTATTGAGATAAAACATATGTAGAATTAAATTTACCAAGTTAATAATTTTTAAATGTGCAAATCAGTGACATTAAGCATACTTATATTGCTGGGCAGCCATCACCACTATCCATCTTGTACTGTGTTGATTTTAAAAGCAATTTTGTGTCTTGTTTTGAATTCTGAGGACTTGATTTCTGTATTAGATAGGTGGAAAAGAGGTCAGGAGGAAGATATGATCAATAAATGCTAACTAGTAACAGCAGTCAATAGAATAGGAGAATTAGAAAGAAATCAAGGCAAAAAGCATCCTGGTATGTGAGTTCTTGGACTGCAGATTAGACTGTTTGCAGATCTACGGGGGGATAGTAAAGCAACATCATTTCTGACATTACCAAAGAGACTTTTAGCCCTGAGGTCCATGGTCAAGCCCCCTTTTTGTGATTCTCTTGAGACCAAACCTAGAATACTGAGTGTAGTTCTGGACTCTCAAAGCAATAAATATGCTGACAAATGGGTGAGAGTTTGGAGAAGAGCAATAAAAATGATTGAAGAGCCCAAAGGACTGATTTATGATCAGGGGATAGAAGAACTCAACTCTGAGAACTTAGCCAGCCGATGACTAGTCAAGGTTTGATAGATGCCCACGGATGCTGGAAGAGGGCAAATGTCCTGGAACGGGTTGAAGTTGAGGGATAAGGACAAGAGGAAATGAAGTTAGGGAAAGGAAATCTAAGTCACAGGTCAGGAAAGTTAGAGAAATCAAGATGCCATGAAATTTTTCTGTTAGTAAGAATGAAGGATGACTCCACTTCAATGGAATTTGAGTTTATATCAGATAGGCAGTTAGCAAATTTTTTAGAGGAAGGTGTTTGCAGAAGAGGAAATACATATGAGGTGGCATGTTATTATTGAATGCTGGTGAGAACAACAGAGAATTTGGCTAATAGACGTCAAGTGGGATACGAATACAGCATGCCATTCTCTATTTAAATTCTGCAGAGTTGCTTCCCTGACTCTTTTTGCCATTGAAATGTTTGCACAGTTGCTGTGGAGCCAGCACTTTAGCTTATGTGATGGCTGAGAATCTCACATACGATTCTTACTGAGTAAAATATGTAAAATGTGATGGATAACCACTTCTCCATCTCTTAGTCTGCAATCTTGCTGCTGAAGAAAACGTCTACAAAATATCATTTCACTTTTGCTCCGAATGATCCAGCCTGGCCCTCCACAGTGATTGGATTTGGTGGTTAATCGCTCAAGTCTCCACATCTTTAGCCTTGTAGACAGATCATGTGGGAATGGGCTTGACTTCACTTGGTCTTTATCATTCCCTCTGGCTAGATGTAGAGACAGTCTTAGGATGTAGACAAGAGCCCCAAGGGAAATGGTAGAGGTCCCAGCACTGGTGTCATTTGGAACAAGATAGACTACACTACTGAGCTACAGACTGACAAGAGAATTAGCCCCAGGAAATAGACAAAGAGACCTAATCTGTCATTTCCATCTCTAATTTCCATTATTCTGTGATTGTCACTGTCTATGAGGTCTCGTTGTAGACACTAATAAAATAATAGAGCCACTGTCAGGAAAAGAAGTAACTGTCTTGAGGGAAATGGAGCCAGGAGTGATAAGCAGCTGAGTTTATGTTTATAAAACAAACGCCAGGTGAGTGAGTGAACTTTCCCTCCTAAAATGACGAGATAAGTGAAAAATAGAAGATGCCCAGACTTTGATTTAAATGAGGGAACTGATGCTACGTTTCTCTAGAAGATTTTCACAAAATTAATCAAAATAGGTTTGAATGCGAAGACTGTCACTCAAATTGAAAACTGTCTGACAGATTGCCAAATAATGATACATATTGGGGTATCATGGGAAATGAATGGTGAGCTCTATTTTCCTGAAAATTTTTAATTCGTGTTCTGGAGGCTAAACGGGAAAAGCTCACAGAGGGGTGCTGATGTTTTCTCTTAACATTCTGATATGGCAAATATAATATAGTAGTATATTCATTCTAGATAGGACAGACAAATCCTAAACCAGTAATAGCTAGATTATTTGGGGGGGAAATCAAGATTGATATGCCAGGAGAAAAGTGACCAAAACATTTGTGACTTTAAGACAAGGAAGAAAATTGATCAAGGACATTCACAAAAGGTTACAAATGGTTCTGTGAGGCAAAGGAGTTGCATGTGAAGCTTTTAAGAAACTTCTGCCTACCACTCTGCCTTACACTGTGTGTGTGGGGGGGGGCACATTTGTGACTTTAAGACAAGGAAGAAAATTGATCAAGGACATTCACAAAAAGGTTACAAATGGTTCTGTGAGGCAAAGGAGTTGCACGTGAAGCTTTTAAGAAACTTCTGCCTACCACTCTGCCTTACACTGTGTGTGGGGGGGTTCTGTGTACATGGGTAGTGTTTATGTGAAAATTGTGTGTGTGTGTGTGTGTGTGTGCATGAGTGAGTCAGTCTGTTTATAGGATTGCTCTCACCTCTACATCCTGTCATTGATTCCATTCACTTATGTTTTCAACAAATACTCACCCCATTCCTCTTCTGATTGAGAATATGACTGGTTGCTATACCTCAGAATAAGATATAGTTTCTGCTTTGGAAAAACTAGTAATCTACAAAAGTAGAGGGAAATAAGTAAAATTCAACCTAAGACCTTTCAAAGAAGTGTGAAAAAGTACATGGGAATACATTTTAAGGGGTGACTTAGGTAGGGCTGAAGCACCTGGGAGAGGTCCATGGAGAAGTCTACCTTTTAATTGTTCTGTTTGACAGGTAATTAAGGCTATTCTAAGTGAAGGACACAACAGGTGGAAAACACAGAGACGTTAGGAGTCTGGGTTTCCTAGACACATAAGAATCATGGGCTTCTAGGAATGGTAGATAAATAGCTCAATTTAGATTGAGAATATCTTTCAAATGACCAGGAGAAAAAGCTAAAGTGGGTAAATAATTAGAGGTTTTTCTAAAGCCCTAAACACTAAATTCCATTTATAATCTCTAGAACTGTTGGTAGAGGGGAGGTTTTCAAAGGTATCTGTATAGGCCCTCCCTGCACAGTTCTTTGGGGACCATTTATAATGAACTTAAATATTTATTAAACCACACACAAGATAAACACATATCCTATCAGAACTATTTAGGTTTTATGTAGCTGGATTCTTCAAGGAAAGTATATTCCTGAAACTGTCCTGTAGACAAAAGCCTTCAAGAAAAAGCAAAGAATGATAGAAAATTAGAGGCCTTGGTCTAAAGTCTATAACAAAAACATATTGTAATAATTTTCTGGTGCCTCCAGTTTTGCCAGCAATGTCCAGGAAGCAGGAGGCAGGCTGAGACAATCATACGTTGATCTGATTGGTATAGCTAACCACTCCAACTCACCTGGGTGATGGGGTCCAAAGGTAAAATTGTAAAAATTACTGAATTTTTTATATAAGAAGTTCTTTTTCACTAGAAGTAAAATTAGTTTTACTAGCGAATGTGCATGACAGATTTCTAATGGGTTATTCAAAGAACATGGGATGTCTGAGGTTATATCTTTGGTCTTTGATGCTGGCAAACAAATCAAACATTCTGTCACAACACCCCCATGCCACCCAAATGCCAAAAGAACCCAGGATTGAAGAGTTCTAGCCCAGTGCTGTGGCTTGCTGTGTCTTCTTTCTTCCCTGTGTGAATTCACTGAGTAAATCTTTGCACACTCACCCCCAGCACTGTGGCTGCAAGACACAGCCAGAGACCATTAGAGTCTGCATTTGATATTTGTTTGCTAGGACCGAAAAGACAAATTGAAAATGTTCACAGATGAGAAATGAAAACAATAAATGAGAGCAGAGGAAGCAAGAGAGATTGATTTACATAAGAATATCAAGAGGAAAAAAACCAAACTTATTTAGATACTTTAGAGTTATTAAGAAAGGCCATAATAATGGCTTTTTGTTAAATTAGAAGTGTATTCAAGGGCCTCCAGATACATTTTTCAGAATATCACAATTAGATTAAATTCATGCATTTGAAGGTTCCTGGTAAATAGTAGTCTGATTTCTTATTCTGGCATCTCAGCTACAGAGGGCAACGCCAAGGAGATTCTCCAATAGAGAAGTATAAAATATCACTGGATTTCAATGCTGAAGGATGAAGACAGGGTGATAACTCATGAAACGGTGAGAGACCTGCTGAGGAAAATGAGCAGGTGTTCCTCCAAGTATTCAAAAGCTGTTGTGAGGAATGACTCTGCTCATGAGAGTACTTTTTCTTCCCTATGCCTGCTCAGGAGATGACGCCTTTCACTGGACATGATTCACTCACTCACACATGGTTTACACTGACCTTTCCATTGCCCCAGGTGCTGTTTCTGCTCTATTTCTACAACTTTTTCTTTCTCCTCTACTCAGGAGCTAC